TAGCACGCGCGTAATTTAGTGGATGACTAAAGTTTGGACGTGTGATCTTAACTGATTGCATAAAGGCGCGAGGGGACTTCAGGTCGGTTTCTCTATGGGTTCCATGAGGAGTGTCCACATCATGTTTCTATTCCAATAAAAGCCGAGAGGCTCCCAAGTTTAACCTTCAGTTAAATCGGCAACAGTGGTGACATCGTTGTTGCCAAGAATGTTGCTTGCTCACTCCGTTCCGAGAACATTGCATTAGGTGCGAGGGGAACCTACGGATCGCGCAAGGTGTAGTTGCACATCTGCAGATAATTCGCCGCGATAAAAAGTTTGGAATAGCCTCGCGTGAATGTGCGCTACTGTTTTTACGAGCAGGTAGTTCACACAAGATGTTGTGGAGAGCACCGGGCATTTGGAGACGCACTCTCAAGGAGGTGCTTTATCTTTCGCAACGTTTTTTTGTCTCTATCTTTAGTCAACATAGACGAAGGAACGCCACTTGTCGTACTGGGAGCGTCACTCGGATAAGAGTAAGATAACAACACTCAAGGTCGCTATGAAACCGCGAGGACACGAAATACGTCAGGAAATCGCTGTTCAATGTGTCTCGGCACACGATAAACGTATGGTGTCGGTAGGGCTACTTGGTCAAGAGAAATGCGTATAAACAAAGAAACATGATGCTACTGGTGATGGCACCATATTGGCTCCAAACTACACAGGGGGTGGGGGGAATAAAGAAAAATTAGAGAGAGAAAGAGAGAGGTGACTCGTCCACGTATCTAGTGATCGTGCTCATTGATGTGTAGCCACTCAGTAAGGTAGCTTTGATGATAGCTTGCACCCGGCTGGCTGCACTTTGCTTTGAATAGGGGCAAGGAGGAGGAGGAGGAAAGCTTAAGCGGAAAAGACAGGGAGGTTAGCCAGTTCTTAGACCGGCTGGCTACCCTGTGCTAGGGATAGGGGTGAGGGGAATAAAAGATTAAAAAAAATGTTGCGAAGAGAGAGAGAGAGAGAGAGAAATTACAAAAAAATAGGAGCAAATGAAGCAAAAACGCTACACAGGCAGCTAGGGAACGCATGAAAAAGGGCAGATCTAGTGCACATGTTATAACGCAAACCAGTGTGATCAAGCAAAAATAAATATCACAGCCTGTCGAACAACCGACAAGTCTTAAGACAATTTCACTAACGGGCTTAGAACTGTAAGTCCTCAGCGAATGGACCAATTATTTTTATCTATCTTTCGACAGTTTAACTTTAGACGTAGTGTCAATGTATGAAGCCGCGTACGCGCTTTCTTATGACATTTCAATCTAGCTCCCTTCATCTTTTTTATAGATATTTTTCTTGCACCAAGTTTAGGGCAGCAAACCGAATATTTGTTGCACTTATAAGCTTGCATATGTTCCTTTGATTTCCCCTTTGCCTTTCTTTTTTCTCAAAAGGAACTCAACTCTTTTCTGTTAGTACAACTTCCCCGTTGGCTGCATCAACGCGAGGTATTGTTTTTGCGTCAGTTCTGTGTGTGAGAGAGATGGGTTTTCTTATGAGACTGAGAGGTTGGCCTGAATCAATTTTCTGGCCTGCTACTCAGTGCTAGGTAAGGAAAGGGAGTCGTAAAGAAAGTAGAGAGAATGTTTTGTTGATGTTGAGAGTGAAGGCGATAATATAGTTAGTAGTAACCTTTACTGAACCTTACTAAACGCTCATTTATGCAAAACCAAGCCAAGTCAACAACCAAGCCAAGGAAAGCATATGGGGCATTATTCGTGGTTTCTCAACTGCATTGTTATGATTATTACTTGAAATATAAAATACATAAAATTGACAAAGTATTATTTTTCCGTCGGTGGCAACCGAACCCACAACCTTCGAATTACTCCTTCGTTGCTCCAATGCGTTTAAGCTGCAACAGAGGGCACTACCTCGTTATTTGTTTTTTGTAGAGTATTTAAGTGTGCTCAGTAGCTAGGATTGCTAGTCAGCGCCACACGAAGCCCAGGAGGCTATTGTGGAACACTTTTGTTGTTGTTTTGTTATTTTTTCCCAGAGGGCATCACGGGGCACGTGAACTTCCCACGAGGCGATGGGTGAAAAAAAAAGTGGGTGGTTTAAGAAAAGAAAAAGAAATTAACAACGAACCTTTACTTTTGTTCATTTCCTGTTTCAGTGATATTTATGTGGTGCGTCCGAAATAAACCTTCAGTTGATAGTCCGCGCTTGTCCCCGTCTGCTTGCCGTCCGTTCTCAGTATCATGCAGTATACATAGATTTAGCGACGAAACCTCACACTGACTCCAGGCATTGGCACCTCTCACAGATCTACGGGAACGTCTTCGTTGGCGTAGGGCTTCCATCGCCTCGGGGCCGTCGCTCAGCCGACGTTGCCTTTCCCGTTCCCTAGTACGTACTCTTTCCCGTTCTAGTACGTTCCCTAGTACGTACTCTTTCCCTAGTACGTACTTTCCCGTTCCCTAGTACGTACTGTCGTAGTACGCAATCGGGGTCACTGACTCGTCACCGTCGCTTGGCAGCCATTTGTTGTGCTAACTGTTGCCTTCTCCACTTCTAGTGGACCAGTGGTGAGTAGAAAAATTGATCCAATGTCTGCGGCGCATAGCCGCTCATGATGATGATTGTTTTCTGCGATCGACTCTCAAAAAAAAAAAAAAATGATTCGTTGAAAACGGGTCCCTCGTGCGATCCCCTTAGAAACGCTAATTTGGAATTACTGAATGTGTTGCATGGGACGTATTCGCGGGTTAAGCGAAGAACATCGAAAACCTATTCTGCCACTGTGTCCTAGATTTTATATAAAAAGACAATCGTCGCAGTCCAATGCCAGCCACTGTCTTGGCTTGGTGGATCGTCTACTGTACTGACAGACGCTACTAGAAGACCATCGATCGTCGTGCTTCTTTAAAGACGATTGGCTTCATTCAGAGTGGTGCGGTCCGTTTACATGCACAGATTCTCTTATGCCCATATTCCCCCCTGTTTGATTATGGTAGCCAAACAAAATTTTTATGGTTAACGTCATTGTCATCGTTTTTTTTGTTTACTTCTCTTTTTGTGTTGGGTCAAGAAGCGCGTTCCAGGCAGCCATAACTTTTAGTTCAGACAACGGTTGGAGCACTGAAAAATCGACAACGGCAAAGATTTGGCTCTACTCATCTTGTCACGCATGCAACAATCACTTGTGGTGCCGTTGATCATTGCAAAGATGAATGAACAAGTTTTCATAATTTCGATCTTCTTCTGTTGCTCTACTGAAAGCAGCGTAAAATACACTGACAAGTTTGTAGATGTCACAAAATTTGCGTTGTCCGCTGCCTCATCCGTGCCTTTTGTGCACTGTACTTTCAGAAATGAGAGAAAGAAGCAGTTGTGTTTATAAACCCACCTTAACTACACGTACCATACGAAACATTTGTAAGTTGTTGATGACCCATGAAAAGCGATAAGAAAATTTTTTTCTTCAATGTAGAAAGAGATTGGGACGAAATTGAGGGTAAGGCAGAAGCTGAACCAGTATTATAGCATCCGGTTTGCTATTATAGAATAAGGGGAGGGGAAAGGGGAACAAATATGGTAAAGAAGGGGAAAGAAGAGCAGGCGTGTGAAAACAAGCAGCACATCCTGCTCGTCCCTTTTAATGTAGACGGTAGCAAGCAGTCTATATATGTGTTATAGTTGGAATGCCCTGTCTAAGTAGGGCAGGAGCTTTTACGTCATCGTAAAACTAGCATGCAGCATGCACAACTTATCGGTGCTTCTAGAGCCCGAATCCAAGTCTACGCCGCATACCTCCTTTGCTATTGTCGTGCGTTATCTTATCCTGGGTCAAGCAGGTCCAACGACATGGACCAGAAAAATCGAGTTACTTGAAGCTGTCGCAATTCAAAATCTCAACGGCAGCCGAACGAGTGGAGTGCGTAAAGATAAAGAAAACCACCAAATTCTAGACATACATCGTCATCAAAAGTCCTCAGAGTTATCTGAAGAGCTGTATGCGCACTTGGATACGTTGAAGTGACGCCAACAACCTGATTGCACGTGAAATTACGGACAACGAAACGGAGCAGACAACTGTTATCAGATGTTGGGCTGCATTAAAAGAGTGTTGTCTTTGATAAGGAATCTTCGCAGACGACTGGCCGCCAGAAGCGTAGCCAGCAAATTATCTCGGTGGGTCAAAGAATACAAGTCCGATTATCTTTTGTTTGTAACCAATTACAGCGTTCGCATACTGTTATCGAAAGCAGCGTGTCATCAGCCAAGGGCTTTTATGAACGAAAGCCCGTGTTATTACCACAGAATTGTTCTTAAATATTGCAGCCAATTATATATATAAATTATTTAAAAAATGCCTTTATTTACAGATGTATTTTACGTTATAATTGTTTTTAAGATGAATCTTCATACTTGGCGCATTGTCAGTGAAACTGTTCAACCAATTATAGAGATAAGTAACGAATAAAAAGATAATTCTGAATTTCCTTTGGGAAAGTAGGGAGAATTCGTACCACTTTATAATATTCTCTCGAAGTGTGCGTGTGAAAAACACGTTCCTTTTAAGCCGCGTATAAAAATAGTTCGATGACTTAATCTGCGAAGTATTTTGCAAGATGAGCTTTAATTTGTACTCCACACCTAATAAAATGTAAATCAAGGTGAGCCACATTACCTAAATTACGATAATTAAAGGGCGCGCCGCAAGAACGTCATTAATTGGCAATTTACTGCCTCGGGAGCCGAGCTGGTTCTCCTGCAAAGGTACCTTCACCGCCGAACACGGCTCGACGCGATCTGCGTCGCCGCGCAACATCGCAGTGCAGCTGTGTCTGAAAGAAAAGGCAACCGGAGCGCGCACAGGCGATCGCGCGTCGTACCGTTACGTCGCCCAGTGACGTAACCGCCCCGCGAACCAATCAGCGCGAGCGAATCCTCCTTTCTCACGGGCTCTTGACTGGCGGCCGTTCTGCGATACAAAAACGAAACCACTTGCAGACGACGCCGGCAAATCTAGATTACACCTCTCGCGCAGCTCGCGAAGGCTCTCGCGTCGCGTACAGGCGACGACAGTGTCAGTCTTCGTTATCTCACCTACATCTTATTTTTTTTTGTCTTTCTTTCTCGTTTTGCTCTCCTCGTGTTCGCAACGACGAAGAACGTCGCATTAATTTTATTCGCGCTTCAAGGTGTAAGAGAGAGGAGGGGCCGTTACTTCGGTCGCCGTGCCTGGAAACATCTCTCCTAACACGCACAGGAGAACGACAGTTCCTTAGTATCGCTATACTTTTTTTGGGGGGCAAATTTCCCGGCCTGCTGCAAACGGGTTACCCTGCATTTGTGAAGTGCGCGAGTACCCACGATGTTGGACAGTGTGAAGATCAAGAACGCCCTCGTGCGTGAAGTGATCGCTGAACTCCTGGGAACGTTCGTACTTGTGGTGAGTGAAAATGTCCTTTTAGTTGCATGTGCGCGAGTTTAAGTGTCTGCTGTTTCTAAACGCGGGGAAAAATCCATCGCTACAGTCCGATTTTCGTTTCGCAACCGTTCTCGATTCCGTCTCTCCCGGCAGCTCATCGCAATTTACACGAAGTGTCGTGCAGTGAAAGCGTCATGATGCACGCGATGTGTGGAGTGCTCGCGCTGTCGCCACTTTTAATGTCGCCCTCGGCCACACAAATGTAACCGGTGCTCGAAAAAGCCCTGCTAAATGTCGAAACGCACTTACGCTGTTATTGTCTTTCGTACTCAGCAAACGCGAGAAAAAATAAATTCAGCCCAGACAGAGTACGTAAGACGATAGATGGAAGTGTCATGTAGTTGAATCCCTACAGCAATATAAAAAACACGTGCATGATTTGCATACGTGATCAACTAAACAGAAAGCGGATAGTCTGGCTATTTATTCTAGTTTACTTGTACTGTGGAAGTATCGCGAACGTATTCGTCGCATATAAATGTTGCAATCTGCATTTATATGTTGTTGTTTTTTTCTTGAAAACCCACATAACCGCAGTTGTAGCAAAACCTCTACAGATTAAAAAGAAATTACGCTGTTGGAACTGAGCCAGGTGTGTGACGTTTTGTTTTAGGGTTTGGGATATTCCTTTAGGCGCGACGTGATTGAACATGTACAATATTTTTTTCGTTTGTTCTTTCACTTGTTTATGAGAGTGTGTTATAGTGTATACGATGAGGGATTGCATAGTTGTTGGTGCGAGATATGCAAAGTTGTCGTATCTTAATTGCAAAAGTTTTTTTTTTTGGAAGGGGGGGCAATTATTAACGTAATATGAGAAACTCGTAAACAGAGAGTGAGTGCCGGATCCTACGTTTCGACAAGTGAACTTGTCTTTTTCATGGCTTCAACTTTCTAATACGAATTCTCATTACAAAAAAAAATATTATTGACATAATCAAATTTCGGGCTGTAGCTTTTGCGGTCGCAGTTGCGTCACTTCAACTTGCACAATACAAAAGAGCTTGCACAGTTTTGTCATCTTCTTCGACAGGATACGAAAATTGTTGCCTGCGTCGATTGTGTTCTTTTTTTGTCCACTATTTTATATATATATAAAAAAAACTCTTGTGAAGCTGGTAGCGCGCGCGTGCCATTCATCACCCGATAATACTGAACGCGTAGCGCCGAAGTGAGATAATGCTTGCGGAATAAATCACTATTACTGTTGAAACGACAAAATTGGGGACTCGCTCGCTGGATTTCGCACTGAACGGTTGTGCCACCCGCGATCTGCGACGCCAGCGCAGCTCTCGTCAATCGGCCCGCCGTCCGCGGTCTTCTGACGCCGTGTAGCTCTAGACTATAGTGGTGCCCCTTCCTCGGACTACTTCGACGGTGTCCCCAATCTTTCCTCTGTCTTGTCTCCCATTTTTTCACTCGTATGCGACGAGTGCTTCGTATTCCATATCTTCGTCTTTGCCGAGATGGGCAACTTATATTTATATTTATATTCTATTTATCCCCTTATCACATTCCCGGCCTACAAGGCACTGCACCGTGTCACCCACGAGGCAGACAGAAATTGGGTGCCTTTTTCTCTTCCTTCAGAAATCACTCACACAGACGACAAAAAGCTTTTCAAATGCTGCGGCTGTTTTACAGGGTTGGGAGTTATGGCACCTACAGAGAGGAAGAAAATATAAAAATAATATCTGGACCTTTTACGTGCCAAAATGACAGCGTGATAATGAGGTACGCCGCAGTGGAGGATTCCGGAAATTTCGATTATTGGGCGTTCTTTAACTGCAATGACAACAGACAGCCTACGGGCCTCAAGCGTTTGGCTTCAATCGAAAGGCGACCGCTGGGGTTGGGTTCGAACCCGTGACCTTCCGGTCAGCAGCCGAGGACACTGACAACTGTACAATCGATGCGGACCATTGTATAGTGCGGGGAGTTCAAAAATCAGTGCGAAATCCCCATTTATATGTATGTAATAATATTATCGCGGCTTTGGCACGTGAACGCCAAGAATTGAATTGAAGACTTTTTTGTGGTGTTTCGCGGAACGTGCACAGGCCAGCAGCTATGCGCAACACCTTCGAGGATGAATTTTAGATTATGGGGTTCAATATATCGAAGCTCAACGCTGGGTTGTGGCTAACTACTTAATTTCAAACAGTTGCGATTGTTTCGTCTAGGTGCACTTCAATGATACTGTGGACACGCCATGTTGACGCAAGCACGAGTGTTCTCAAACTTTCTGGAATTCAAAATGTGGCCACCCTTGGCATGAGCTCAAACGTGTGACCTTTTTCTCAGCACTTGAAATCCGTATTTTATGAACAACTATGGTGTTTAAATTTCGATGTAATTTATTCCAGACGAGATATAGCTCTGAACTTTCTACGCTACAGTGTGAGAGTAATCATTATAGACGGTCATGTCCATAACATATATAGAGAGGCTGTATTAAAAAAAAAAACAGATTTTTGCCTATATAGCGTTGGCATTCTACACTGTATAGGGATGGGGAATGGGATTAAAAGTTTCCAGAAGAGAGAGGAAAATAATAATTGAAAGAGAGAGTCGTTATGCGAACTGCATGGCCACTCTCGAAGCTGCTGCCTCGAAGGCAGTGAGCAAAAGTGCGGAACAAATACGCGTGCATTTTGAATTACCGTACATTCGCATCGACCTTAACGTATAAAGGACCATTCGCAGACGAAGCCCTTGTCTACGCAGACGCGGAAAGGAGTGTTTCCCCGGAGAGAACGGGCGGCTCGCGGTCTACACGCAGCGTGGCTGCGATGGCCCACGCAGGAGCATCGCGACGCGCTTGACCGCACTGTCCGTCACTGGAGGAGCGTCGCGTTTCCGTTTGACCAACGGACTGCCCTCCCGTCTCTCTCCTTAACGAGCGGCGGCGGACTCGTCACCGCATCCCTCGGGGGCGCTTGACCTTGAAACATCACGCGGCTTCGGCCGGAAAGTGAACGCTAAGGCCGAACGTGCGCCAAAGACTGCCTTCGTAAGTGTATGCATGCATCGATTAGGGCTTGGTTTCGCGTTACTTGAATTTGCTTATTCCCCCAAAATATAGCACTGCCACATAAACTATATAACGACGTTATCTTAATGCATTCTTTCTCCATCCTCCTGGTATCAATAAAGCGCTACAAAACGTAACACAGACAGAACTTCGAACATGCAGATGAGATACCCGATTCCCTCGCAAACGCACTGGTTAACGTATGCGGTGAGGCTATAGTTACCTTTGCAGTGCTGCATTCCAGCTACCCGTACACATACACCTGCCGTGCAAGGGTTAAAGTCATCGACAGCTCTGCGTTTGTAATTCCTGTTTCTCGTTCGCTGACTGCTTTTCGAAACATGATGTGCGAATATTTCGAGCACCCCGATTGGATGGCGCCTGCGTTGAAAAACTGCTGCAAGTGTAAATGTCGCAACGAGCAGTGAGTATTCACAGAATGACCGTAGGACAGCACGTGCTCGTAAGAGAACTTCTTGCTTGGCATATGCTTTAGTTAATGGTTAAGGCTTACAGGATTGGTAGAAATGGTGCGAGAAAAGAAATATTTTATCTTCTATCGAAAAAAAAAAACAGCGTTCTGCGGGGTGACAGTGATAACGCGGCACAGTGTGTCCCATTGTGATACAAAGCAAACGGGAGACACTGGACCACACTGCACTGCAACGCTCTAGTATCTTACAGAGCACTGGGAGGCACTGGTCACGGTGTACAGTGTGTGCCGCGCACTGGGGACACTGGAGGCACATTAGAAAAAAACAGGGCGTGCTAAATATAACTTCATTAGGCTCGGCCTCAATAACCCAAAGTGAAATGTTTGTTCCATAGCGAACGATAAAACGCACTAAGAAAACATTGTTGAGTAACTTATATGACAATGCTATATTTTGGGGGGTAAACAATACCGTCCACTCCAAGGTAACCGAACTTAGATGACAGAACGACTATGAAATATCATTAAAGAATAATAAATACCCTTTTTAGCCCTTTTCTTGCCGTGGACAAAACAGGACGCTTAAAAACAACGCCGACACATTTTCAAGCAGCGAGGTTGCGAGGTTTGTTTCTGGGCTTCGTCTGAACGACGGACCGGCAGCTACATGCGTGAGCACACACGAAAGTCCCATTTAAAGACTCGCCCATTTTACTGAGCAAACCACAACGTTTGTACACGTTGAGACGAAACAAGCCCGTCTTATAGCCACCTTCTGACGTATATAGGGGCACCTCGGACCGCTAAAACTAGCTCACGGTATATGGAAGCGCATATCACTGCCGGGCGCAGATGACCGAAAAAACGGTCCACCGCGCACGACGTGAACGTCAATTAAGGTGCACTAGTGCGTTTCCAGTAGCTGCGTGCTGGGTTTTCCCTATGCTTTATTTATTTATTTATTTATTTAACATTTTTTTTTTCTTTCTTGAAACCCTTGCTGGCGTGTTCCACCGCCTCACTCGAATCGCAAGACACTGGCGAATCGGAACATGCTGCAATGCTCGAAACAACAAAACATGTTTTAGATTGCCCTTCAACTACGTTGTTCGTTGCAAAAAGTAATTACGTCATAACGGTAATTAGCTGATCCAGCGATCTCGCCACGAAACCGTGCTCGCAGCAAGCGTCTTTCAGAACAGAGGTCTCGCTTGAATAGAGGTGCTGACATTAAAGCTTTCTTGCCAGCGCGAACGAGGCTTTTTACAACCGAGAACAGGTGCTGGGACCAGAGATACAATTTATTGCCACTTTTTACTGTGCATCGTTCGTATTAGGCTAAAAAAAGAGCATTAAATACATTTTTAAAATGCGCACAGGCTGACAGAGCCACAGGATTAGTGAAACTTTATTACCGACGCGTGTACATACGTTTAAAATATAGTTGAAGATATGTGTTTACCATCACTGAAATTACTGAAGTGTTTTTTAAGT